CATTATCAGTTGAAAGGTCCTCGTATACAAGGAAATTTCAAGCGAAAACTATACATATTTATAAATAGACATAACCGGTAGAATACGTGTAAATGAAGCGAGGTCAGGTAAAGGCATAATGAACGAAATAAATGGAGAAGACTTGATCGTATCACCCCTATTAGAGAGAGCTGCAAAAGCTTCCCGTCAGCCAACGTATCATTTACAAAATACTTCTCATCACTTACAAGGCTCTAAATGATCTTGCACCAAGTTACATTGGAGATATGCTATAATAGTACCCCCCATAAAGTTTTTCAACTATGGTCATAAAGATCATTTTCATATGCCGCGCCAAAACTATGGAATGAACTTCCAGATTCAGTACGCCATAGTGAAACAATATCTACTTTTAAACAAAATTGAAGACATATTTATTTAAAATGTTATTTATTTAAAGATGTTTTGAAATGTTATTGTACAGTGATCAGGCCTGTACTTGAATAGTGTGCTCAAGCGTTCCATCATTCCCTTCGAAAGTACTTTAATAGCACAAGAACTTGAGGTTGTACAAAAACGTGTGCTGAAAATCATATCTCCTGAAATTGCATATTGAGACGCCCTTGAACATTTCAGACTCTCTATGCTACTTTATTCCAGAGAAGAGAGAATATGTGTAACAAAATCTTTACGAAAATCATTGACGACCCGGCGGATAGACTTCACCATCTGTTGCCTCCGAAGAGTGAGACTGGTTACGATTAACAGACATTTTAATATGTGCAATAGATGCACGAACCGCTTCCAAAACTCTTTTATTCCTGCTATGTGTAGTAGTTTGGAAAAGATTGCACGGTTTAACTTTTTAAACGATCTTTGGTGGAGAGTGGGTTTTCTTAAATTTTTATGCATACTTTTTAAATACTAGAATCTGTAATTCATTAACTCATGTACATAAGCAGTATATTAATAATACAAGTAGAGTAGTGCTTTTTTAGTGATACATTTACACGTTTTTTACATGTCAACCACACAATTCATTTATTGGCTGCAATGTGGTAAAATTTTTAATTAAACTATTAATTAATTAATTAAAATATGTTGATTTTATTACGTTTTCACTGTTTACACCGGCACTTTAAGCCAACATTCGACCGTAAGATCGATGACATTTTTAACACATTCAGAGCTAACTTAACCTGTGATTCAACATTTAATGTACATCTCGCTTTGCAGCGTTTGCTTTCTAAATCATGTTATGAGCAATTATATTTGTATCAAAATCTATATCTTGAAATCAACGATGTATAAACGACATTTATAAAAAAATGTCTGTTCAACCAGCGCAAATACGTGTCTGTACAAAATGTACAAAGGCTTATAATTTCAACCATATATATTTCAACCAAATAGGTGTGTGATTTATTGTATTTTCCATAATACATGCAGTGTCACAGGCGAAAATATCAATAATCTTATTTACTCAGTATTAAAAGTCCTATACTAGAACTAAAATTGTCAATGCCCTTTCGTTATTCCAAATGATTAAACAATCATCCCCGAGCCGACGGCGCGAAGCGCCGTGCGAGGGTACTAATTCCTCCCGGCTATATACACCCGGGGAAACGAAAGCATTAGCGAAGTCTAAAGTTCATCAACTATCGCGGGCGCGTGACTATGGTTCATGGGTGGACCTCCTCACTGATCTCAAAAATATGGCTGTTTGCTAGGAGTGGGATAAGCAAGACTTCAACTTTCAAAAGCATATATTTGGAAAATCACGTTTCACACAATAAGCTTTGAAGCAATTTTTGTTTGAAGAAATGAGAAGAATTGATTTACTATGGGAATCGTGAAATAAAGTGCAAGTTTGCTTTGAATGTTTAATGTTTATGAATTTTTTTTGCTTTTAATAATTTCTTGCGTATTAAAAGTACATGCAGCTTTCTCTTTCAGTCAAGCTGTAAGATTCCTACCTTAAATTACCCTGTTTAATTCAAGAAACAAAGGTAAAATGTAAAAAAAACCAAATTAATTTGAAGAGCTAACTGAAATTACTCCACAACTTGAACTTATTGAGTATTAAAAACAGTTCATCGGCAAAAACGACAAAAGCAGTTTAGTTATTAAAATGAACATTAATATCAAAACATTTTACGAGGCGATTCAGTTTAAATTTTACATTAAATCAAAGCTCACAAAATGCAAAATAACATACCTACAGTACATAATTCGGAAATGGATTGTTATATAATTAAAAGCAATAATTTTTCAACTATTTTTGGCGACTTGTTTAAAAAAATATAAAATTTAAGACAAATATTAATGCCCAGCAGAAAATACGTAAAAGAGCCATAACAAAAATACAGTTTAAAATATTTATTAGAAAGCTATTTAAGACATCTTCAGAGCGATGACATACAAAGCGGTAAACACAGAAATATGAATAAATTACAACTATTTACAAGATATTATATGACAAAAGTAGAAAGAGGAATGGATCAGAGTAGAAGTAGAGGGACCGAACTGCCTTGTAAGTTGAGAGAGGGTTTGAGTTTGTTAATGAGAAGACTTTCTCGAATGAGGAGTTCGTCTGGAGAAGAGCAACAAGAAATAATCTTAAAGTCATTAAGATTCGTCCAACTTTACGTTTTACGTTAGTCCAACTTTACGTTTGTCCCAACTCTTCACCTTTAAGGACAGAATTCCTAAGGCTTTAAGATCTTGTGTTGTGTATTCTTTCACGTGTCGTTGCTATTCCGCAACATATTTGGGCCAAACGGTCCGTCACTTGCACACACGAGTATCTGAATACTTGGGTGTTTCTCCTATAACAGGCAGTAAAAGCAGCAATCCGACCATGTCTAGTATCCTTTCCCATCTTGATAGCACTGGTCACTCCGCTTCTCTTAATGACTTTAAGATTATTTCTTGTTGCTCTTCTCCAGACGAACTCCTCACTCGAGAAAGTCTTCTCATTAACAAACTCAAACCCTCTCTCAACTTACAAGGCAGTTCGGTCCCTTTACTTCTACTCTGATCCATTCCTCTTTCTACTTTTGTAATATAATATCTTGTAAATAGTTGTAATTTATTCATATTTCTGTGTTTTCCGCTTTGTATGTCATCGCTCTGAAGATGTCTTAAGTTAAAGACGAAACGTTAGCTTTCTAATAAATATTTTAAACTATATTTTTTTTATGGCTCTTTTACGTATTTTCTGCTGGGCATTAATATTTATCTTAATATTACGATTCCCGCCTGGTTCATCTATCGCAAAAAAATTTAAGATTTTCGTGTTGCCATGAAAACACTGACGTAAACGCGAGCCTGCGTTCAGTGTTGATCAATTACTAATACAGTACTTCATGTAAGTCAATGTTTGGAAAAGATAGGCAAGGGGTTGCTGCATGCATGTATTTCTTGTTATATATATATTCAAAATTGAGTAGGACCTTTTTCGCTGACATCCAGCCAGAAGCAAATAGTTCTGGCCAAGATTGGGTTACATAATCATTCATTGGTCAGGTGATGTAATTGTAATCGGACAACAAACAATGTATGGCGTAATATGATGATAGATCTAAGTACTACCAGCTTCAAAAATTGTCATCGTCTTATGTAAAAATAAGTTTCAAAATAGTAACTATTTTCTTTTGTTCAACTGCTTTTTGAGTCATTTCAGTTTGATAATTAAGCACATACGTCCGAATTTACCTCACACATGGTTAATATATTTACATATGGTTAATAAATACGATACGACTAATCGTATACGATTGTCATTTGGCGCATAGGCGTACCGGGCGGGGGGGGGGGGG